TCAAAGGCTTCGTTCACATTTCATCTCAAATATTAGTATCTTCTCTAGCAGAGTATAAGGAACCCTAAATCTAAGTTTCCAGAGCCTCGAGCGATTTTTTACTACACAATTTAACAAATAAAAAGGCTCAACAACAGCAACAAAAAGTAGCACAAAAACAGAAAAACAAAAATAAAATCAAACATGAAAATCTACACACAAATAAAACAATAAAATCCCCACAACACACACACACACGCACACCACACACACACACGCACACCACACACACACACGCACACCACACACACACATAGAGTACGAGAGCCCAAGAAGCTGCACAAGTTTATTACAAATTTTACTTATGTGTTTTAGCTTGGGCTTGCCCCAGCGAAGTGTGGGTTTGGTGGTTGGCTGGCAGCGCGTTTAGCCACAGGGCATTAATAAAGACAACAACTGGGCGACGGCGAACGAGGGCGACCTCAAGTTGCCAGCATATAAGTCATAAGCAAAAGTTCCCAAAAACGTTTTCTTCTTAGTTCTTTGGCAAATTGGCGCAACTTGTGAAATATGTGAATTAAGCCAAAGTCATTTTTCATCGTAAAGGCAGATATATATCACATTATTATTATTATCATCAAAAAGTATTTTTAATGGCAGCTTTGGGGCGCAAATAATTAAAGCTTAAGCTTTTATTACCTGCTGAAAGATGGAGATTTGGCAGTTTAACTTTAATAAAGTTTAACTTTATTTATTTATTTATTCTTGCTTTGGGACATGATATATAAATTAGTGGGAAAACAGCTTAATGAATTCAACCTTTGTTGCATTCCTTAAAACCTGAATCGATTTAAGTTCTTCCACAAAAGCAGAATAACTGCCATTTTTTAGTCTCTGTTTCAGTATCTTTTGAGTTTAAAATTCCACCCACACCCACACACACCCGCATATGTGTCGCCGTCCAATTGACAATCATTTCGCAAAAAAAAGTTTAATTTAAAAACTTTTATGCGCACTGCAACGAAAAAAATAGCGCCCATTGATGGCTGTGCGAAAGAGGCGAAAATCGTAAAGGCTGGCTGGCAAATTGTTTGCAAAGTGTTGGACGCTTTGCTTAAAGATTTCACTGGCAGTTTAAGAGCCACGAGCTCAACTGAAAGTGACAAACTCGCACGTCCTGCCAATGTTGACATTGACACAGATGCAGTCAGCTGCAGGCGGCAAGTGGCAAGCGGCAGGACGAAGGCTACAGTCGCACAGCTGCAGCTACAGCTGCAGTATTTCCAATGAAGTTGCCAGCATTGAATGCATGTCACAGGCAACGGGCGGCAGACAGCATAAAACTTTCACAAAGCGGAAGTTTATTAAAACAGCAGCTCAGGGAAGAAGAAAACTGTAGAAGTGCAAAAAAGAGGCAAGCTCATGCATGACAAATAAGCTGGCTATAGAGATAGACTGATAGACGCAAAGATACTGGGTAGTTGGCTACAAAGTAGCTTGCAATGCAAATGGAATTGTCGAGCTTATAGAATATAGAATATAGAATATAGAATATAGAATATAGAATATAGAATATAGAATATAGAATATATAATATATAATATATAATATATAATATATAATATATAATATATAATATATAATATATAATATATAATATATAATATATAATATATAATATATAATATATAATATATAATATATAATATATAATATAGAATATATAAAATATAATATAGAATATAGAATATAGAATATAGAATATAGAATATAGAATATATAGACAATGACAGCTCGCATGGCAGAGCGGGCAGAGAGCATATTTTATTTTTAATTCTGTCATAACTCAAATTAAATTATATAAATGATGCTCCTTTAAAAGTGTGTAAAGTGCTTATATACCAAATTTCATATACCAAGCTGCCATAGATCCTGAGTTCAATGAGGTCAGCTAAGACTAAACTATGTGAACTGGCAAGCAAATAGATAGAAACTACAAGACAAGTCTAGTGAAGTCTATATTCTATTATTTAACTTAACATCACCTACAAGATACCCTCTATACACATAGTAATATTAGGGTATTCGAATGCGAATTACTATGAATGCAAAGGTGGTCACACTGTAAGTAAACTAACTGAGTAAAAATCCAGCAGTCACTGCATTTTTACATGAAATGCAAATACATACAATGCACACACACACACACACATACACACGCTTTAAGCAGATACGAAACACTCCATTATGTATGGACCAGACGGGGGCAAAGATACAATTTTGTATTTTGTTGTGCAATTGAGCGAGCAACTGAAGCAGGAAACTGTGTGGAAAAGTGTAGCAAGTAGACAGCCAGGAGGCACTCAATGAGCAATGCATTGGGCGACAGCGTTGTCCTTGCCGTCAAATGCCATTTGCATTCTGCTGCACAAGCTGGGCCAACTGATAAAGCCGTGTTGCAGCCACGTACGACGCATGCTGGGACTTGCAGCTCGGCTGGGACTCGGCTAAATTCCTATAAAATAAATCGTTGACGTATGGCAGCTGCATGCTGCCAGCAGAATCCAATTTCAGTGTCCTGGATTTTTATTAAAGCAACAATTTATAATATATACTTGAACAGAGAGAAAGAGAAGCAGCTAAAAGGAGTGAGAGAGAGGGGAAGTCTTATCTAATCCAAAAGCTGCTTTGGTATGCCGGTTCTAGTCCACTTCCATGGCACAAAGGGCTGCACTTTAAATGTGCTGCATCAGCCATTTGTTTGCCTTTTGTGCTGTGCATTTGATTAACTGGCTGAAAGCTAAGGCAGGCAAGGCCAAATGCGAGTAGCTCAGCGCATAAATATTCGTATTTTTGGGGCGCTCGCTAATGCTCAATCATAAAACACAGACAAGGCGAATGAATAATATATAATAAACGTATATATGGCATAGCAATTCGCAAATTATTTTCAAGCTGGCATTAAATAAACTGACAAATGCAGGAAACATCCACAAAAAAAAAGAGAGTAGAAGAAGAAATATAAATAAAAACCAAAAAACAAGCAGCGTCCCCTGACTGTTGATTCCAGCGGGGGTTCGACTGGGGTCGGAGGGGTAGGGCAAGGGCCAGGCAGACAGACAGACAACTGTCGTTGGCCATGTTGTTTTAGCTGCTGCTGATATTGCTGTTACATATTTGTTCTTGGCTTGCTTCATTTTTTTTAAATCGAATCTCGTGTCAACTGAGTTGTGTACATCATCTATCTGTCTGTCTGACTGCCTGTCTGGCGTTAAGAGCAGGCTGTCTGTCGCTAAACTTATGGCCTATATTCTGCTGTTGCGTAAGCAAACGACAAGTGAAATGAAATGCCAGCGCCTTGATAACATTTGTCAATAAGCTTCATGCGACCCAGCGATGCCTATAAATTTCTGTACACACTTATGCGAGGGTGTACAAATGTGTGTGTGTGGGCTGTAATACAAATAACAACATTTATGGACTTGGCAATTCTACAGAAATAACATATGCACAGTCGTATAGACAAGCAATACTATTCAAATGCCTAACTAGTTAATATCCTGTAGGTAATTTTGTAGGCAAAGGTAAGGCATTGACACTGCTTAAGCAATTCTACATCTATAGAGAAGTCCTTAACAAGTAGGAATACATAGATCCATTGAGTGAATCACAAATGGAATATGTTTAGATATTATATATACGATGAAGTAACAGCTAAAGATAGCTAAACTGCTAAACTAACATATATATATTTATAAATATATATAGCTATCTCTATCAGTCCGATACCTCATCTACATAGTCTCTGATGCCCTACACTCCCATCTGTTAGCAATTTGTAAATTAAGAACTTCATGTTTGAGCGACAATTCGCATATTACAGCCCAAACTGCCATTGGGAAACGCAGTGAATTGGCAATTTTGACTTTAAGTAGACATTGACAAATTAATTTTTGGGCAGAAAAAAGAAGGGATCTAGGCATACAATTTGGGCGCATCATTACGGCGACAAGGAGTAAATCAAATTTGCGTCGTTTTGGGCCCGCTGGGCTTGTCTGTTGACAGTTGCTGGTTATGCAGTGGCTTTCCGGTCGCTTGTCTGCAACGGAAATGAAATGACCCAGTTAAATGATTTATAGCACACATCTACACACGCACACACGCACACTAAAATACATATGCTGGCTTGTGTACCAAGGCTTGGTGGCATGCGGCTGACACGCGGTCAGAAAAGGTGCCTCATGTGGCAAAGGCGCACGCCGCTGCAACCCCGCCACGCACCCAGCCCAAATTATGGCTGCCTGTTAAGCGTGTTGAAATTATAATTTCATTAGCTGCAATCAACATAAAAATAACACTTAAGCCAAAGTGCCAAAGCGCTTTCAAGTCGTAAAGCTCGAGCACAAATTAAAAAGAAACAGGGACGAAAAACAAAAAGGTACGAAAAAAGCAAAGAAGAGCGCAAAAGCTACTTGGCAGCTAACGACGATAAAATACCCTTTTATTGTGAAGGCAGAGGAGAAGAGAAGAGACGAAAAAAGAGAAGAGAGATGAGTGATGATAGATGAGAGATCAGAGATGAGAGATCAGGGATGAGAGATCAAAGATCGGATATGAGAGATAAGAGGACAGAAAAGAGAAGAGAAGAGTAGAGTATAAAGGAAAAGAGAAGATAAAAGAAGAGAACAGACAGACAGACAGACATAAGCCAGCTTACCTGTATCAATTATATATACTTATATTCGATGTATCTCAAGGTCTATCTCCTAGTGTAACACGTTCCACAAAATATTTGAAATACTCTTCTCAGGTATGCACAAAACAAACAAATGTAAAATCAGGTGCAGACACAAAGCGAATGCTCAGCAAATTATAAAGAAGTTTGCCTTTTTACCTCCGTTTTTTGTTTGTCCTTTTGCACTTTGCATACGAGAAGCAGCAGCAGCAGCAGCAACAAAAGCAACAATGACAATTGCAATAACAAACGTAATTACAATTTTTTGTTGTTTGTTTCATTACAGATTTTAAGCACGCGATGATGCCAGGGGAACAATTGACGTTGTAATGCGACAACAGACAACTGCAACAACAACAACAACAACAACAACAACAACAAGCGACGAATGGCAAAGGCAACGGCAGGCGAAGCGATGCGCGATTTTTAATTGACATTTGTTGAAGTTAAGCAGCGTTTTGTGCAGCAATTAGCCAAAAGGACAAAGCCAGGTGAAACATAAAAATGTAAGAAAGAAAGGGGAGAGCGCGAAACAATTGAAAAACTGATGGCCAAGCTGCTATTTAATTAAAAATTCTGCATATTTAGCAGTCAGCGCTGAAAAGTAGGCAACGCTTTCTCTCTGCCTACCTCTCTCTCTGTCTCTCGCTGTCGCCCCAAAGCAATGGCCGCCGCGCCGCACCGGAAGTCCATGCGTACGGCAAAGCTGTCAAACCGTTGACAGTTGTCACATGGTCCAGCACGTGACGAAAACGAAAGACAAAAAGCCAAGCAATAGGCGCCCTTTGGTACGTGAGTGCATGAATGAAATGAATAAATAAATGGCAGGCAAATGAATGAAACGTCCAAAACGTTGGCCATATTCGACAAATTTCAGACGCGGCGCTAAACGTTCGCACGTACAGCGCATAAATTTCAAGTGAAATTAAAGGCCAACCCTCACACACACACACACACACACACACCAGGAAAACGAGTCTTAAACGAAAAATAGTGCCAAATAAACGAGGCAGCCCCACAGCCACGCCCACGTCCACGCCGTAAATATGCTGCTCGGCCTGAGTTTCATTTGGGCCCTGCTGCTGTGCAGCGCTCAGGCTTTATCCTTGACGAACGTCGCTGCCGAGCAGGAGGAGCGCAAGCTGGCGCTGGCGCAGCATCTCAGCTTTCTAGGCGTGCGCCGCATGCTGCGCGATGAGCACGCACCGGCTCATTATAAGGCCGAGCTGCGCTACCAGCACAAGCGCGAGACGCAGCCGCGCGAGAAACGCGAAGCGGCAGCTGCCTCGCTGCTGAATCTGACGCGCCAGGGTCTGAGCGTCTATGACAGCCAACAGAACTATCAGGGCCAGTTCGAGCTGGTGAATCGCCTCGATCTCAGTCACAATCGGCTGAGCAGCCTGCAGCTGCAGAACTTTACGCAGCTGCAGCAGCTGCACGCGTGCAACAATACGCTGACCGTGCTGCCAGCTGTGAGCGGCACGCTGATCACACTGGATCTCTCCGGGAACCAGCTGAGCCAGCTCTCGGGCAGCTTCTTCGAGCAGCGCATGCCACAGCTGAAGCAGCTTAATCTGGCGCACAATCGGCTGGGCGGCGCCATAGCTCGCCAGGCCTTCTACAATCTGATTGGTCTGGAAACGCTGCTGCTTAGCTGGAACAACATAACGGACATCGACTATGAAACCTTCTTGGCGCTGCCCAATCTGCAGCACTTGGATCTGTCGCACAATCAGCTCAGCGGCTCAGCCATACGCGCTCTGCAGGGCATACCCGATCTGGTTAGCCTATCGATTGCCTACAATCCGCAGGTGGGCGCTGCCATGCAGGAGTTCGTCGCCTCGTGGAGCCTCAAGGAGCTGGATGCCAGTGGCACGGGCCTGTGCCAGGTGCCCGCCGCCCTGGCCCAATCGGTGCGCACGCTCAAGCTGTCGCACAACTGGCTACAGGTAAGCAACGTGTGAGCATAATCAATAAATTAGCGTAACCATCAGTGCGCAGTCAGGCGCAGCCTCCTTTCATTTTTTTTGTTTTTTTCTTCCCTCTGTGCACGCAATGAACCGCAATTTTGACGCTTTTGTCGGCAATTAACGGCACATTCGCAGCAGCCAACACACGCACACAGCTTTTCTTTACCCGCGCCTGAGCTGCCCCCGTGCTGCCATTAATTAGCATCTGTTTTGCGGTCTGTGTCGACTCAGCTCGCCTCGGCGCTTGAGTGGGCCTTTTGCTCGACTCCGATTACCCACGCACGAGCTTCCCACCCGGGCATATGATTTACACTTTGTTATTTTTAAATTTACGCCGCCATTTTGTTGTTGCCGCTCGACTCGCACTTCCGGCTCCGGCAATGAGCTCATTGGCCCGACCCCAGCTCTAAAATTCCTCAGTAAAAAGGAAATTTTCCACATAAATATTATTGATTAGACTGCGCTCTGCTGCCACAGTGGAAGCGGAAGCATTTGGCCATATTTTATGTTGTAATTGATATGTCAGCCATATCTTGAAGACAACTGATAAGCAGCGACGCATGGGCACCTTGGCAGCAATTCTATGAAGTAATTTATAATTTTTATGCCTGCCACTCAATCGCTTTTAAAAGGGGAACTTTATTGTTGTGTATGCAAATTATTTCATATAAAAGTTAACATAAGTCTCAATCCCTAATTTCCCCGCTTAAACTCAGTTTAAGGCAAAATGTTTAAAAAGCTTTTCAAGACTTCTTCCAATTGAGCCTGGCATAAGCCCATTAAAATTGTTAACTTTATTCAAGCTGTTCTTCACTGCATTGCGCTGCCTTTTAGACAGCTCTTAGTCGGGCACTTAGTCAGTGCTAGAGCATAATTAAAATCACAATGCGGCCACACAATGAAAGCGCTAAGTGCACTTCACACTTTCCACAAATGCCAAGCCAAACAATGCGAAATATAATAAATTAAATAGCTTCGCCGTGTCCCAAGACTGACAGCCGGACAGACCAGTTAAGCTGGCGATTAGCGCTTACAATGACTGGACAAAAGGGACAGCATTCAGCTGGCAGCTGGCTTCAGTTGAGGGTTGCATGGGTGAACTTGTAAATTGCAACTGGAATAGAGCATAATAAAATATACAAAAATATACTTGTTAATATATATAATAAATATTTATTATATTTATTATTATATAAATTTATTATATATATATTATATAAATAAATATATATTTTTCTAATATAAATTGTGGCACATATAGAAAAAATGTGCATAGATTTTGTGTTAGGCAATCTCAGTTTATACTGGTGGCTTCAAGAAGTATCTAGTCTGTAGAGATTGAGCTGATCCTACACAAAGAGATCTGCAATATGTTGAATATGATATATGATGACAGATGCCTAAATAATTATAAATGTTATTTACATTGAACTATAATGCTCAATAGCACAAACAGTAAGAAGTAACAATGTTGCAGTCGGTTGCATAATACTCATTCACACTCTAAGAGTTGGCAGCTTCAAAACGTTGGCAGTTATGATTCTCATTTAGAATGCTAGTTCTAGGACTGTAGACTATATAGTTTTTTTTAAACAAATATCCACTGTGTACATTTGATCTTAGATATATTTTTTCTTAGATATATCAACTATATTTTTTTGATTGTCAATGCGAGTCTAGCTTCCAAATTTCAAGTCTCTAGCACTTTAAGCTATAGACTCTCCAACCTAGCAGATATAGTATTTGCTGATTTGTCACGTCCCTAACAATTGACACTTTATAAGACGAACTTAACTACGAGTCCATATATCAAGTTTTAAGTGTCTAGCTTCTATATCAGCAAAATGGTTTTGCGCTCAAGCGGACAGACAGAAGGAAGCACAGACGACGAGGAAACAGACAGCAAGGCGCACATTGCACAAAGCCAATATACTCTGTCACTGCATGAATGAGTAAATTAACAATTTTATACTACAAAATTGCACACAATGCAAAAAGTAGAGAGTCTGCGAGCTCAGCTCAGTCTAGCTGCTTCGTTCTGAACTATTTACGTAGCAATAATTAGCCAGTGAGGCGAACAGTTAAGCGACACGCAGCTAGGGTATGAAAATATCAGGGTAAACTGATTTATGGCAAAAACAACTAAATTCTGGCTGCTTTTGCATTAGAGGCACAAAGGACTCAGGTCTCAGCCGTTTAGGGGCTTCGTTCGGGTATTAACTAAGCTTTAACAGGCTCGAGTACATATAGAAAAACAAATGCGGCTTATAAATTGCTGTTGCTGCTGCTGTTGTCGATTATGGCAAATGCCATAAAAGGTGCAAAAATGCCATTCGTAAGCTTTGCTGGGCAGAGACGCAGCAAAACAAAAAAATACTTAAGCAGACAAAAGGCGCACGCTCGACGCTGGGCATTAATAAAATAAGGATAATTGGCATAAGCATAATCACGTTTAAGCCAACAGCCAACGAGCAGCTGAGGCGCTCTAAGACAGCAGACAGCCCAACTAGTTGCAATTGCTTTGTGCTCGCTCTCTCGCACACTCTCCCTCTCTCTGTCTGTCTTGTGTTGCCAGGCAGCAGGCATTTTAATTTGTCTGCCATTGCCTGCTCCTGCTTCTGCTGCGCTGCTGCTGCCTTTTATCGCCAGTCAACACGCAGCCTTTTCATGGCAAATTATGGCGTTTAGAGACGACGTCTTCCACAGCCATAGCTTCCGCCCGTCTGTGGCAACTGCGCCCGTAGGGCATCGACAGCAGCAGCAGCAGCAGCAACAGCAGCAGCGGCTGTTTGGTTGGGCTGGCTTCGTGCCTGTCGCTTGTTTCATTTAATGAGTCGCGTCTATGTTTACTTTTTGGCCCCAGACGAGGCACAGCTCGGGGCTAAGGCAACGCCAGCCAGCTACCAAAAAGGGGCAAAATGCCATCCGACCAGCCTTTGAAGTAATTATAACGGCTGATTCAAGTTAATTTTTAAACAATGTCAGCAAGTCACTCGCTTCTCGCACTAATCAAATTACCCAGACTCAACTAAAAGTTTGTTAAAGCTTAGCCTCGCACAGATTTATACCTCTTTCTGTGCCCCGTTGAGGGCACCTAGCGCTTAGCTTAGCATGTGGAGTTAGCTGTAAATACTATATACCCTCTACCGTTATCTGATCAGTCAAATATTAAATATTTCTTTCATCTACCGCATTTGCAGTCAATTAACTGCGGTGATTTGGACAGCTATCCGCTGTTGCAGTACCTGGATCTGTCGTACTCACACGTGGCCCAGCTGGAGGACGATGCCTTGGGACGTCTGGAGCTGCTCGAGCTGCTGTTCCTCGATCACAACAGCCTGATGCGTGTGCCGAACAGTTTGCCCACCTCGCTGGAGCATCTCTTTCTGCAGCACAACAGCATCATGGAGCTGCAGCCGCAGGCATTCGTTGGCCTCAAGAACCTTAAGACTTTGGATCTGTCCGGCAATCGCTTGATGTTCTTGCCGGCACTGCCCTTGCCCCAGCTGCTCACACTCAATCTGCAGTCATCGGGCATTGAGTCGGTCAGTCAGTCGATTGTGCACACGCTGCCGCAGCTGCGCGATCTGCTGCTGGAGGACAATCCGGTCAGATGCAGTGATTTGCTGGGCATTGCCGAGTGGGCCAGTCCCTGTCGCAGTGTCGATTTGGGACGAACGTTGGGCCGCATCGATCTGAAGCGGCGCTACGTGCAGTTGGGCAACTTTTACGACAGCTTCAGCCCAACGTGCGGGGGCGTGGCAAATGAACTGGACACAGCAGATGAAGAAGCTGTGCAGCAGGCCAAATCAATGCCGCCCACTTGCGGCATAACAGCGACAACAGCAGCAACAACAGCAACAACAATGCCAGCAACCATGCCAAAAGTACAAAAGTCAAAGGCAGCAGCAGCAACGCAGACAAATGCAATGCAATCAAGCGGCAACAACATTGCGCTGCTAACCACAAAAACTTTAGGGCCAGCTGAAACGACTTCGTTAGCTCAACTGCAGCGCCAACAAATGCCTGGCATGCCAACAGAAATAATAACAACAACAGCAGCAGCAACAGCAACAACAATTGCAACAGCCGCAGCCGTTGGCGTGCCAAGTTTGCAGCACGCTGCCAAACGCACAAGCATTTTGGCAAGCAGCTCACCGACGCCGCCAGCAACAACAACAACAATAACCACAGCGCCGACCAGACTGGCCAAGCCAACAAACATTAGCAATGTTGCTGCGGTCGCAGCAACACAGCTCGATGTGCCACAAACAATTTTGGCGCTTATAAGCTCTGATGTTGCAAGCAAACAAAAACTGGCCAAGAGTGTATTAAAACAGACAGCAACAACCGAATCGACAGCAGCAACAACAGTTGCTGCTGAGATGCCAAGCGACACTGCCGGTCAGGAGCCACAGCCGATACATAAACATGCCACGCTGCAGCTGCATATTAAAGATCGCCATCTAATTGGTACGCCGCTGTTGATGCACAAGGGCGACAACCTGCTGATAGATGCGGAGCAATTGCTGCTGCCCGGAACGGCAACTGTGGCGGATGCGGAAACATTGGCTGCCAGCCAGCGCCAGGAAGCGACTGATAAGCGACAAGCGGAAGCAATAAAGGGCGACACAAAGGCGTCGGCCCGAGCAGACCCAGAGCACGCGAAGCTGAAGAAGAAGCCCTCGCTGAGCATTAAGAAGATGACCTACAGCACCAAGCATGCAGCAGCAACAATAAAGACGACAGCAGCAGCAACTGAAACAACAGCAACAGTCACGCAGAGCACACGGCCACAGCATCAGCATCAGCACAGCAGCGTAAACACGCCAAATGAATTTAAGCAGGAGCTGAGCACATTTGCCCAGCTGAAGGCCTTTGTGGAGCTCAAGACGGAAGCCTCCAAGTCCGCCCAGCTGCTGGCCACGCGTCTCAGCCCGCAGCAGACCCTAAATGGCAGCCATCCCGGCCTTATGCTGCTGCTCGCCTGCATCCTGGTGATTGTGTTGCTCGCCGGCCTGGCGCATGTTTATCGCTGCGAGCTGCCCTGGCAGCGTGGCCCGCGCGCCGGACACCAGCGACCGCATCATCAGCGTCAGCTGAACGAGAACGACGATGTGCACAGCTTTCTGCATTATCAGGGCTCCGGTCAAGCGGATCCGGCACGTTTGGGCGCCTGGCATCACAGCACCAGGCGCGAGGCGCCCTACAGCTCGCCGCTGCACAATCTGCAGGCGCGTGAGCTGCAGCGCGAACAGCAGAAGCTGCAGTTCTACAGCGCTTCGCTGGCGGACAGCTCCATTGGCAGCGGCAGCGGCAGTGGCTGCTCCTCCGGCAGCAGTCGCAGCAGCCTGCATTCCCCCAGCAACGAGGATAGCTACTACATAGAGATGGCGCCCAGCAGTCCCATGACTGCCGCCAGCGACATGTCCCATCTGCCCATGGAGCTGCTGGGCAGCAGCAACAGCAACAGCAGCGGCGCACACACAGACCCAGCTGCTGCCACACACCTGGGCAATGGCTTGACGCCCACGGCGTCGACGCTGCGCTCGATGAGCAGCAAGCTGATGGCGCCCAGCACACGACGGCTGGGCATCTGGTGACAAACCGTTTTTGGACAGCGACAATACGCAACACTCCAGTGAATCAAGGGCAAATAAACACAAAACAAATATATAAATATATATATATCTATATATATAGAAATCATTCTGCATAGTTTTAAGCCAGCAGCCCACATCGAACGGGCCAAACTGAGTCGCAAACCAAAAAGGGCAGCAGCACGGAAAAAGATTTATATATATCTATATATATGAGTATATATATAGTGATATATATATTTATGTTCGCATAGTCTCGTTTGATTTATGGCTCATCGTGGCCGCACACGTGGCAGGCATCTTAGTGTCTAGGTTAGCAGTAACAATTTGTCATAAAGTTTCGTTACGTATACGCCGCGTGTAGCGGCCAGCAGCCAAATAGCCAAGAGCAGCCAAATAGCCACCGCCAGCAACATTTTATGGGCCATCAGGCAATACCCACACCCACACCGACACCCACGCCCACACCTCACCCCCAGCCCCCAATTTGATGTCCATCTTGTGGTTGTATTTGGGTCAGTTTACAGCAGGGCTAAAGCCCTGCGTCGAGTATCTGTGTGCGTGTGTGTTGGTCAGTTAACTTTATATGTGTGCATAAGTGGCTGTCCGTTGGCCAAGATTAAGTGCTTAGATAGTCATGCATATAAAAATGAAATATATCGATAAAGTATTAAATAACAATTTAGTTTATGGCCAAAAGTCAGTGAAAGGCTCCAGCATAACAGGCTCCGTCAGACGAAAGAAAGTCTCAATTTGTTGCTGCTGTTAATTGTGAGCGTATGTCCAGATCAGGCGTCAATTTCCATAATGTAACAAAAGATATATTTATGTGCTTCAGATATAAGATACTGAGGAGTTTGGCATAATTCAATATCTTGGGAAGGAAGAAATTCTCTTACAACTTTCGTTTCGTATTTTTGTATCTTAAAGATACTTTTGCATACTTTTGAACTACTAATTTGTAGCACAAGATATTTTTAAGTATTGGCATACTTTAATATTATCTCAAAGGCAAAGATAACTACATTAAGAATTGATTTATCTCATAGATACTTCTCTTCGCCTTGAGATACTTTTTGAGTTTCACCTACTTTAACTCTCTAAAGTTACATTTTCATTCCAGCTTTAAGAGATTTAAGCTAAGAGTTATTTAATTGACTTTGAGATACTTTTCTATAACTTCAGATATTTCCATGCAATTTGTATCTTTTCATATTTCTCTACAAGTTGGCATATTAACGTTTCATATAATAGTATATTTTCCTCAATTTAAATTCACTTAAATTCTGCTTTTATATAAGAAATACAATTATTTCTTAAAGTACGCAGCTTAAGCTGACGCAGCTCTTGACTTTTATGCTTCGAAATTCCTTCGTGCTCTATATTGGCACTTGAGAAATACTAACTAAAGCTGTGACTAGTGGAGCATTCGGGCTAAGTAATTACAAAATGTCCGCAATCAAAGTGGAAGGGGAAAGTGTGAAACGCATTTAGCTTTCACTTGAAATAAAACTCTTGATAGATTTTCGTCTTCAGGCAGCGCTCTTTGCTAATGGACTTTAAAAGTCAACTGCTTCAGTGGATCCTTAACCCACTTTGAACAATTTAATTAAAATTTCGACTCGACTCGACTCGAGCCACAGCATGAAGCACACTTAGTCCAAAAAAGAAAACTCCTTTAGGATATATTTGATTTCTGTTTTGTATTGACACCCTTAAGAGCTGCCCTGGCAATTGCCTTGTACAACCCCGTGTGGCACCCCATTTGCACTTGTCGAACAACAACCGCCCTCTTAGCCTCAATTTATAAATTGACCAAGAGAGCATATGGTGTAAATCCAGCCAAATGGGCAGACAACTAATCCGCCACGGCAAATGTGAGATGTTGTAAAACTATTTGAAAGATATGTGAAAAATGCCAATGTGTGGACCGCTCACGCCTGGCGCTCCGGGCCGGGCCAGGCCGACATCAAAATAATGTGCCAGCAAATCAAATTACAAGCAACGACTTCATGAGGGGACTGCGCCACGGCGGGTTGGGGGTGCAACACAACAATTACATTAAGACACGATAAAAAGTTGTGCAACAATCTTGAGCGAGCCACAGGCGGGGCGGCAAAAGGACCCAAAGCCACAGTCATTGCACAGTTTTTCAACTTTTTGTGGCTTTGTAATTGGAATACACAAGATGAACAAGAGCCACAGCAACAGGAAGATAGATAAAGATGCGGATACAAATGTATCTAGGGGTTTGGGCGCAGTTTGAGCTACAAGCAACAGCAGCAGCAGCAGCAGCAATGGAAGGCGTTCAAGCGTTGCGTCTCAAGCAATTCAGAAGGATTTATTTTTGGCCACAAAAGCGAAATGTGAAGCAAAGCGGGCTAACAACAATTAAAGTAATGCTGACCAACAAACTACGGACTACGGACTACGGACTCCGGCCCGGGGGATTAGGGCAAAAATAAGCAAGAATTGCGTTGAACGCACAAAATCTTAATTAAGGAAGTTCCAACTTCCAACTTCGAAGTGGGCAAGTGTCAGGCAGGCGGACAGGCCGACAGGCGGATGGACGGACGGACAGACATCCTTTTTTTTATACAGCAATTTCTGCCAGTAAAGCAGAAAAACTGGACTACAATGAAGGCGCTCCATTGTCAAATTTAATGAAGGTTTTCGCTTGCTTATGACAAGCGCAGCTGGCCAAGATTTACTTACAAAAACTTTTCAGTTGCGTGCGAGCAGAAAATTGTCGTAGGCTTACGACAACAACAACAACAACAAAAACTCAAATGAGTTAATTCGATATTTGACACTTTTGGGTCACATTCCAGGCCGTAGCACAAAATGGTGTAAAGTTAATAAAGAGACTAAGTCCGGCCTATAATTATTTGCCAGCTAAATGGTTTTAACTGGACATCAAGTGAGGCAGGCGTTTTGGCCATAAGTTGCTTTGGCTCTGCCCATAAATACAGCCACAAAATTGAACATGGCCAGAAATGTAAAACAATCCTCCAACGAGCTGAAAACCAACAACAGACAACATGAACACACAATAATTAAACTTAATTGCGCTGTACATATAAAAAACAATACAAAAAAAAATTAAAACAAACAAAACAAAAGTAAAACAAATTTTTGCAATTTTAAATATGCATATAAAAATATTCTGTGTTTAAATAAATACTAAGATAAAAACAAAAAAAAAAAACAAAACAAAATACAATAAATAAATAAATATAAAAAAACCAGCGCAGATTTGCATTTAATTTTGCGCATTTTACAAAACCACAAGAGCAACAAAAACTAATTGCCAAATATTCGATGTAGCCATAAAAAATATAAATATATAATACTTATATATAATATATATAAATATATATATATATATTATATATATATACAGAGAGAAAACATGAGAGTTCTAGCTTAGAGCAGTGCAAATAAAATATTAAACCAATAATTCTATTTACACAGTTTCAATATTTATTCTGTTTAGACAAACGCCACGCCCCACAACATGGCCAGCCCGCCACAGACAAATATGAATAGGAATATATACATATATATATCTGTCTGTCTGTGTGTGCGTGCGTATTTTGTAAATAAGTAGTTTACCGCAGCTAATTATAAACATTATTATTATTATTATTGTGTAGTATTAGCTCTTCGATAATTGAAACGTTTGCCAACACTGGTGCGAGGCGTTCTTAGATCAAATCAAATCAATAACAGTTAATACAATTCAAAAGCAAACAAAAATTAAGAAAATTATTTAATGAATTTAAAAGAAAAAAACCAAAAAATAAATATTTAATGTATTATGAAATTAGGTTTTAAGTATGAGAAAATTTGTGTAGAAGTGGAAGTGAGGATGCTGCATAAGTACACTTCTCAACACTGGCAATTTTCAAAATGGCAGACAACTGTGAAATGCGAAATAAAAATTGAAAATTATTTAATTAAAAAAAAATATGTGAAATTTATTTGGTTTTATTTAAAGGAATTTCATTCGAGCGAAGAATAAATACAACTAAAGTGAGTAAATCAACTTAATCTCTGAGCAAGTTTTGCTCGAAAATAAACTCTAAATTAAATATATTTTTAAGCTACAGACTCTTAATTATATTATAAATATTATTTAAATATAGAAATATTAAATATATAGAAATATAGACTGCCGTTACAAATACAACTCCAAGATCTGCGAACTACTGACATGAAGTTTCTTCAGTTTATTTTCTCTCATTTACTCTCAATACAAAACTTATATAGTTACCCAGTTGGCACTAAAATTCACAAATTTATTTAAACTCTTTCAATTCACTTTAATGCATACAAAAGATTTTTAAATGGATTTTTCAAAGTCTCAACATTCAATTTTGTTCAATTGGCAGCACAAATTAACATTTTGAATAGTTTAAGGAGTAGAAGCAATTGACAAGCCCAAAGATTAGAACAAAGGCACATGGGCAATAAACGTTAAATTAGTGAGGCATGCGACAGTTAAGCAGAGGAAGTGTGTATAAAAGCACAACGAAAAGGCCAATAACGGCATATACACATGTGTATATATATATATATATATATAAATAAATAAATATATATATATAATCATTGGTTAAGTCAGGTCAAAAGCAAAACAACTTGATGAACAATTTTATTTCAAATCCAATTATTTCACATCGAACTGCAATCAAATGATTGCGTTCAGCAACAGGAAACACGCAGCGCTGTGTGTGTGTGTGTGTGTGTGTGTAAATTGCTGCGCTCGACAAACGATGCTGTGAAAATTGCCGACAAAATGAAAGTCAATTGGTTTTTTCTGTGCGCTTGCTGCTCGCTCCTTTTGCTCACTTTCTCTTGTTGTTGTTCTTGGCTGGGCCGCAGCACATCAAGAATTCAGTATGTGTGTGCGTGTGTGGGTGTGTGTCTGGTCAGAGCTGTAAGGCATTCAATATTGCAGCAACACGAAACGCGACATTCAATATTATTAAAATTCGCATCCATTTACGGGCCGACGGAGGACAACAAATGTCAACCAAAATATGCTCAACGTTTGCC